GGGGGGACAGTGGTGAGTGGGGCACAGTGGTGAGTGGGGAGAGAGTGGTGAGTGGGGACAGTGGTGAGTGGGGGGACAATAGTGAGTGGGGCACAGTGGTATGTGGGGGGGACAGTGGTAAGTGGGGACAGTGGTAACTGGGGGTGTAGCAGGACAAGCCACAGACAAAACCCCTCAAACACCGAGTTAAAGAAGGAAAGGCTTTATTCGGCTTGGAGCTTTGGCAGGACTCACGAATCCAACAACTGAGCTCCCCGAATGAGCAATTCCTGTCCCTTTTAAGGGCTTACAACTCTAAGAGGTTCCGTATGAGAGGGTCATGATCGATCGAGCAAGCAGGGGGTACATGACTGGGGGCTGCATGCACCGGTAATCAGATCAGAACAGAACAGGACAGGGATTTTCACAACGCTTTTCCATACAATGTCTGGAATCTATAGATAACATAACCGGTTAGGTCAGGTGTCTATCTTTAACCAGGCTCAGGGCACAGCACTGGGCTGTGGATTTCATTTCTGCCTTTTAGTTTTTACTTCTTTCTTTGGAGGCAGAAATTGGGCATAAGACAATATGAGGGGTGGTCTCCTCCCTTAGGGGGACAGTGGTGAGTGAGGGGACAGTGGTGAGTGGGGACAGTGGTGAGTGGGGGGACAGTGGTGAGTGGGGACAGTGGTGAGTGGGGACAGTGGTGAGTGGGGGCACAGTGGTGAGTGGGGGCAGTGGTGAGTCGGGGCATAGTGGTGAGTGAGGGGGACACAGCAACCTCAGTTGAGTTGGTGCCCCCCGAGGCCTCCCCACAGCACACATGCCACCGGGGTCTGACAGCAGGATCCTGGCCCCCTCACCTCCCTTCCCGTGAACATCCGGCCCGAGTTTCCTCATAGCCAGTTACTCAACTGTACCTTTGTTGGGGTTCATTTTTGTTTATTATTTGTTGTTTCTACCAAAAGCTCTTTATGAGGGGACTCTGAGCCCTGCTCTGAGGATCTGAAAGGCACACACACACTCACAGTGTGAAATCCAAAAGGAGCCACCTGAATCACATTGCCTCTTATTGAAAGCCTTAGTCCACTGCAACGTGAAGATGGATGTGACTAGAAGGGATGGCGCAGGAGACTCACATCAGAGGAGCTGCTCATGTCAGACCAACATCCTCCTCTCCTGATCCCATCAGGAATCTTCAGACAAAACCACCCTGATGAGGACATTTGGCAAAAGAATGGAAGATGTCCTTAGGGAAGTCCCAGACAGGGTCATGATGGAAAATACAGGATGCCCAGTTAGCTTTAAATTTCAGATCAACAATAATCTAGTAAAAGTATGCCCCCATGCAACATTTGGGACTTACACTAAAAAAATTAGCTGTTGATCTTGTGAACGCAAAATATCTGAGACAGGTCTCAGTCAATTGAGAAAGTTGATTTTGCCAAAGTTAAGGACACACCCATGACACAGCCTCAGAAAGTCCTAAGACTTGTGCCAAGGTGGTTGGGGGTACAATTTGCTTTTATACATCTTAGGGGGACATGAGACATCAATCAGTACGTGTAAGATGTACCTCGGTTCGATCCAGTAAGGTGGGACAACTCTTAAGTGGGGGCTTCCCGGTTATAAGTAAATAAGAGGGAAAAAGTTACATTATTTTGAGTTCTTAATCAGCCTTCCACTGAATACACAATTTAGTCTGGCTCAGTGAGTCTGCGTTTTTACTTAAGCAACAGGGGAGAGGAAGCAATCCGATCTGCAGGTGAGCTTCAGAGGGATGACTTGGAATAGAATGGGAGGCAGGTTTGCCCTAAGCAGTTCCCAGCTTGACTTTTCCCTTTAGCTTAGTGTTTTTTGGAGTCCCAAGATTTATTTTTTTGTTCACAATCTGAAATTCAAAGCTCCCTGGGTATGCTGCTTTTTAATTTGCACAGTCTGGCAGCCCTAGTCCCAGAGCCCTGGAATGGCATACTGGAGGTGGCCGTGCAGTCCCAGCGTCCCCGACCAAGCGTGCATAGAGAGCATCCATCCTTACATCTAGCTGACACATGCCCAGGCTCCTCCCTGTGGACGGAGGTTAAACAATAACATAAAGTTTCTTCTTTGTCCTCTAGATATTTCTCCCTCGAGTGGCTGGGAAACTTGGCAAGAGACCAGAGGACCCAAATGCAGACCCTTCAAGTGAGGCCAAGGTATGTGTTACTCCATCCAAGCCCAGACAGCGCACGAAGGCGGAAGACTGCACCCCTTTCCAGCAGTGTGGCAAGTCCACGGGGTGGCGGAGCTCCTGTGTCTGCAAAGCCGCCCACACAGCTGCAGTGCCCACACAGCTGCCACAACACCGTGGCAACTCCCATGGGTTGGCTTCCTCGGTGGCACACACTGAGCTGGGTTTGTGTAGATGCATTTGTTGAAAATCCAAGAAAGCCCAGAAGGGGAGTAGGAAAGTGAGACGGGAAAGGAAGGAAGCAAGCATCGGACATGAAGCAAACCCACACAGGCTGACTGTGGCTCAGCCCTCCTGGGGGCTCTGGAGACCATGCAGTTCACACCCCAGAGTTAATTCCATGTAGGAGCAAGGCCAGCAGCACTTATCCCTTCCACACCCGTCAGTCCTGAGTAAGGGCCAGGCCCTGGGCCACACACATTCCCAGGCACTTCTGCCCGTCCCTGAACAGGCACAGCGGGCCAGTGGCCTGGGGACTGCCTCCCTCTGGGAGACCGAGGCGCCGGCTGCCGAAGGTGGAAACACCCAGGAGCCAGTGCGCTCAAAATGGCACAAGGACTTGCGGGGGTGTGAGCGGGACCCACAGATGGCAATGCACAGAGGGCGGAGCCAGCCTGGGAGGGAGGAGCTCCCTGCGTTCAGGTGGAGTGGTTAGGAGTAGGATGAGGGGTGCCATGGCCAGCACCCCAGGAGGAATGGGCTTCAGCTTCAGGCGCTACCTGCAGCCCAGTGCCCCAGGGAGCCTCGAGGAACACCTAGCCACTCCTCATCACAACCCTGGCAGTTCCTCACAGTGACACGCAGTGTTTTCAAAAGTCCATCTTTCCACATGATGTTTACAGCACCCAGCGGCTAGGCAGTGCTATTAACCCTGTTGTACTGATGAACCAACCAGCCAGCTCAGGGCAGTGGGTGAGCCTGATCCAGATCACAGACAGGAAGTGACAGCAGGGTCTCAGCCCAGGCCATGCCTGACACCCTCACTCTTCTCTGGGGGGGGCCGCTTCCACCTTTGTCCCCAGAAGCCCAGCCTGACAGCTTCTGCAGCACCTCTGGGAGCCACCCACAAACCCAGCCAGGCAAAATCCCAGGGTGCCAGACACCAGGAGAAATTTCTAGGGGAATTAGGCCATTTGGCTGTCTCTTCACTTCCCTGAAAAGCCAAACAGAGAATGGATTTCTTATCGCATCGTAGCAAGGTAATCAATTGGAAAAGAGACAGGAGGAGAGGTATGAGGACCAACAGTCACAGGGACCCGGGAATCGTATTAGACACAATTGATCTTCTAGTATCCTTGTAAAGAGAGCTACAGGCCCACTTTACAGAGGAGGAGACCAAGGTTCAGACAGGATAAGAAGTGAATTAGCCGGGCACAGTGGCTCACACCTGTAATCCCAGCACTTTGGGAGGCCGAGGCGGGCGGATCACGAGGTCAGGAGATGGAGACCATCCTGGCTAACATGGTGAAACCCCATCTCTACTAAAAATACAAAAAACAAAATTAACCAGGTGAGGTGGCAGGCTCCTGTAGTCCCAGCTACTCAGGAGGCTGAGGCAAGAGAATGGCATGAACCCAGGAGGCAGAGCTTGCAGTGAGCCAAGATCGCACCACTGTACTCCAGCCTGGGTGACAGAGCGAGACTCCGTCTCAAAAAAAAAAGAAGTGAATTAATTGCCCATGTCTCACAGTGGTAAGGGGGTAGTGCTGGGATCTGAACCAGACCTGCAGGACAGAAACTTATACACCTTCTGCCATATCGCCCAAATGTGGCAGCTCCCCCAAAGCTGAGCATCTTTTATTTCAGGCATTTAGTGCTTAATTTATTGAAAATGTCCATTCTAATGTTGCTAAAAGTTCAAATATTGCTAGAGAGCAGAAAACAGTGAGCCTGGTTAATCAGAAGCTGGAAGAGCAATAAGAAATCACAACTTAGTTCACAATTCCTAAACATCACAATTGGATGGAGCCTGGAGACACTCTGTTTCTTCTAGGCAATGGCTGCACCCTATCTTCTGAGAAGAAAGTTCAGTAATTCCCTGAAAAATCAAGGTAAGAGCCCTCTGCTCCCCGCACCCCCATGAGCCTGGGAAATGAGCTCCAGGGAGGAAATTGACCAGTCGCAGCTCTGTGTGTTTCTTCATAATCTGTGGGACATATCTCGTGTCCTGACTCTCAAAAATCGTTCCCAGTGCCACTCGGGTCACCCTCAGGACCCAGCACGTTGGTGTTCCAGACAGCTGGAACTTGCTGCTTTAAGCGTGCAAAGGTGGCCCTGGTGGCAGCGGTGATGGTGGTGGTGTTTCCATGTTTTTCTACATAAATTGTCCTAACATGGTACACAGTTTCTGGCCTTCTTACAGAAAGTACGGGTCATCATTTAGCCTTCCTTGAAGGCTTGGTGGTGACAGGGACATTAGCTTTGTCCTGGACTAATGGGATGTGAGGCCTCCCCAGCATGTGGTCAGGCTCTTGGGGTATCTGTGTGCTCATTTCATTCACTCAACTTGTGACCCAACCACTGCTCACCGGAGGCTGGCAGCTCCTCTCCCCGTTCAGAGCCCCGCCCCTCTGCTGTCGAGCTGTTTCAGGCCCCGCCCCTCTGCTGTCAAGCTGTTTCAGGCCCCCAAGCATTGTTGCATTGATCTGTTGTCCCTGTTTTCTGAGCTTTGTCCTCACACACACCATCGTTCAAACTCTGCCACAGCTGCAGTCCTAGCAGACAGTGTGTGTCCCTCCTCTGCTCACAAGCAATCCTGGGCTCCCAACTGCCTGCAGAATGAAGTGGGATTTCTTAGCATAGCTCTGCAGACTTTGGCCATTTGTCGCACACTGGAGTCAGCCGGCCCCCTACTACACCCACCCAAGGATGCACCTCCTTCCCATGCATGGAACAACACAAGCAGACGCTGGTTTCAGAGTGCGCCACACAAGCACGTGCCTCCACGCCTGGGTGTGCCCCCTCCCTGCCCATCTCTGTCCTGTGAAGTCCTCCGGGGCCAAGTATGAAGCCTCTCCCCCGGGGCTCTCCACCACCTCCCTGCAACACCCAGCACATCGATTCCTCTTTCCAGTCAGCTCACTCCTTGGTCAGTCAGCCACCCACCTCCATGCCAGATCGCTCTTTGCACCCCCTGAGCTCCCAGCACACATTCTGGTCAATCCTGGGACAGAGCTGGTACCTAAGGCCCTTTGGGGCTAATCCCAGATTCAGGATCACCAGCCAGGAGAGCGACTTTGCCAGAGATGACCCGCTAAGGAGCTGCCAGCAGGGGCTCCTGGAGATCCACGTGCTGGCTCTGAGGGGAGTTTCCAGCACGTCTCGTGGGCTGAAATCCAGGTGGAGATTCTTGTTCTGTTTTGTTTTGTTGAGACAGAGTCTCACTCTGTGGCCTAGGCTGGAGCGCAATGGTGTGATCTCAGCTCACTGCAACCTCCGCCTCCCGGGTTTAAATGATTCTTCTGCCTCCGCCTCCTGAGTAGCTGGGATTACAAGTGCCCACCACCATGTCTGGCTAATTTTGTATTTTTAGTACAGACAGGGTTTCACCATGTTGGCCAGGCTGGTCTCGAACTCCTGACGTCAGGTGATCCACCCACCTTGGCCTCCCAAAGTGCTGGGATTACAGGCGGGAGCCACCATGCCCAGCCGAGAGGTTCATGTTTGTAGCAGGAGGACAAAGGGCGATTCTTTGCATCCTCTGTATGAATGGTTTCGTGAAGGGTAGACTCTGTCCTATCCAGAGACCTCACTCATGTCCAGTCCAAGGCCAGAATAGCTCACCCCCGGCCCCCTGATAGCCCACAGCCATTTCGGGGTCTGAACGGCAAAGTTGAGGCCTGACCTTCACATTTCTCCCAGCCATCATCACCACCCTCCACCAAGAGTGGCCAAGGGGGCTTTTCACTGTCTACAGAGGCCAGCCCCACACACTGGCAGGTCCTCGGGCCTCCGTCCCAGGGTCTGCGGGGCCTCATGTGACTTCACTCCTCAGGAGTCATGATCCCTCAAGTTAGGTGATTCCCTCCACAGAGGTTAGTCCTGGAGCAGGGACGGAGGGTCAGCAGGCCAGGCCAGATGACCCTGCAGAGAGAACAGCACAACAGGAGCATGCTGCTGAGCCAGCTCCCAAAAGAGGAAAGGGACAAAGGCCTGGCTTGTAGCATGTGCCAGTTTCTGTGGTGTAAATGCTCCCGCCCTGGCTGATCGCAAGTTCCCAGCTGATGTCACCGAGTGTGGGGTCAGGAAGAGGCGCACACAGTCAGCTCTCAGGAGCCCTGGCAACTGGCTCCAGTCAGGCAGGCCACAGAAGACATGCAAAAGTGAAGAAGGGCCTGCACCAGCCACCTGAACACCAACACTCAACTAGGATGTGAGGCCAGATGCCCCCAGTTACACAGCCATGGCCCCAGGAGGGGCCCCGGTGACGAGGGTCAGAGTCTGAGACCCCTTGGGCTGTTGCCGTGTCACAAAGGAAAGGCAAGGAATCTGGGTATGGTGGCTCACACCTATAATCCCAGCATCTCAGGAGGCCGAGGCGGGCGGATCACTTGAAGTCAGGAGTTGGAGACCAGCCTGGCCAACATGGTGAAACCCCATCTCTACTAAAAAATACAGAAATTAGCCAGGCATGGTGGTGCACACCTGTAGTCCCAGCTACTTGGGAGGCTGAGGCAGGAGAATCACTTGAATCCCGGAGGCGGAGGTTGCAGTGAGCTAAGATTGCGCCACTGCACTCCAGCCTGGGTGACAGAGCAAGACGTTGTCTCAAAGAAACAGAAAAGAAAAGGAAAGGAAAAGACAGAGACCGCACACCAGTGCAGTGCAACGGGCCTTTCTGCTGTTTCATTAGTGTGAGGATTCCTGGGGCCACAGTGAGGTAGAACGCTAATGCCTGCTCCAAAGCAAAGGAGAAAGAAGTTGGCAAAACTGTTTATTTGCATGAAACCTGAAATGTGAATGCCTTGTTAAAAATATGTGATGTGGAAACTTCTTAAAAGGGGATATGTCCACTTTTATTCTACCTTTTAAATGTCTGAGGAGGCCTAGGCACTTGTTTGGGCTAGGTATGTGGTTGATAAAGCACCATCCCTCTCCCTGTTTTCCCCAAAGGCAAAGATGATGATTCTTTTGATCGGAAATCAGTGTACCGAGGCTCACTGACACAGAGAAACCCCAACGGGAGGAAAGGAATGGCCAGCCACACCTTCGCGGTAAAGTTTTCTCTCATTCTCTGAGGAGTTTTTAAAATTCAGTGACCCATCAGTTTTATGTGTTAATATTAAGTCTTCAGAGCAAAGAAAATGGAGATAAACAAAACAAGGATTCAGACCAGAGAATCAAAGCAAAAAGTAAAGTCTTTGCCAACGAGGGCTTGAACATCTAAATACTCTGTAATTAGAATAATATCTTCTTGTGTTTTAGAGCTTTACATTTTCAAATACTTGCTGTCCACACACCCCATTGGATGAGGACCTGTGTCATTGACCCAAATTTATAGCTGAGAAAACAAGGCAGAGAGAGGCTAAGTAAAACACCCCAAGGGAGTTCACCTAATATTGTGAAGAACGCAAACCCAGCGTTTGACCAACTTGTCCATGCGTGTATGTGTGTGGCTGCGTTCACTCCTGTGTGTATTTGTGTGCACTGTGTGCATGCCTGTGTGTTTGTGCACACCCCTGTGTAGGTACCTGCTTACACACCCAAGTGTGTGTGTTACCACAACGAAAGCACAGATTTATTGAAAAGGAAGTTCACTCCACAGAGTGGGAACAGGCTAGAGCCAGTGGCTCAGGAGCCTGGTTACAGCATTTTCTGAACTTTAAGTGCCCTCCAGAGGTTTCCCATTGGTTACTTGGTTATACCCTATGCAAATGAAGGAGTGGACCCAATCAATGTGATCGGTCGCAGGAGGCAACCAATCGGAGGCTGAAGGGAAGTTACAAATTTACACATGAAGACTTGGCCAATGACTTGTCTGATTGGTTGGGGGAGGGGACCAATCCGAGGTACTTTCCATTTTTATCTGAGATGCAGAGGAAAGGGGGCATAGCAAAGGGAGTAGCCGCTGGACTTTTTGTTCCTCGGGCGTGGAGAGGTGGGGTTTTCATTTTGATTCAGTTCTAGGAAGTTAGCACGAATTGGCCTTAGGTTCCCTGCCTCCAGACCCTATTCTCTTGCCCCACGTGCGTGTGTGCACAAACATATAATCTAAGTTTGTGTCTACTGATGTGCACATCCATGTACACACCTGTGTATTTGTATATGCACGCCCATGTGTGTCTGTGTTATATGCCTGTGTGTGTTTGTACTTTACAGAAACCTGTGGTGGCCCATCAGCCCTAACAGGGGACAGGACAGAGCAACAGAGCAGCCCTTCACTCTTTTCCCTCCACCACGGCCATCCTGTCCCTCATTGGCTCTGCGCTTACCACTGTACACAGTCACCATCCCAGTGAGAAACAAGGAGCACCCTCCACGTGGACTCCCCCTGCAAGAGGACAGCGATATTCAGTCCTGCACTGCTCATTTGGGTTTACTGATGACTCCTGGCCACCCCACCAGCCCCTCTGATCTGTGAGAAACAGCTAAGCTGCTGTGACTTCCCTTTAGGACAATGTTGTGTTAACCTTTGAAGGACACACAGAAGACCTTTATACTGTGATCTTTTACCCCTTTCACTCTTGGCTTTCTTATGTTGCTTTCATGAATGAAATGGAAAAAAAAGATGACTCAGTTAAGGCACCAACCATATGTGTATTCTTGATGGTCTATATCGGGGTGTGAGCAGATGTATGCTTATTTCTTATGGGTGTGATTGGAAATTAGGCATCCAGACAAGTGACTGAACTAATGACCTGCTGAATAATGACGGAGGAATAGACACCCCAGCCCCCACCCTACGTGCACGCACTCTGCAAGTTCCCATGTGATCTGTAAACCAGGGGAAATTACACTGTGGTCAAGGGCAGAGCCTGCACATGGCAGCAAGTGAGCATCTAATACATGCTCAGATGCTAGTGCAGAAAGCCTGCTGGGAGAGGGAGAGACAGCAGGCAGAGATCCAGATGGGCAGGGAAGAGGTCTGGTTCTAGCCTGGCTCTGCCACTCACTGCAACAGATCCAGTGGGGCAGAGGACAGAGGGTCACAACCAATGAGGAATGCCTGCCAAGGATGGGGGTGCAGAGGACAGAGGGTCACAACCAATGAGGAATGCCTGCCAAGGATGGGGGTGCAGAGGACAGAGGGTCACAACCAATGAGGAATGCATGCCAAGGATGGGGGTGCAGAGGCCACAGGTCAGCTTGCCACTCACCCCTTGGTTACATAGATGATCTCCCCTCAGACAGCCTGGGACTCAGAGTTATTTCCTAATATCTGTGTGCCCCATCCAGTTTTAAGCGGAGCCCTCCGAGACTCTCCAAAGCTGCCTTTGAACATCCTAACAGTAATCACATCTCACCCTCCCTGAGGTTCACCCTAGACAGGACCCAATGGCCACACTGTTTTTGTCAGAGGGGATGCTGAGAGGAGTGGCTTCCTTCGGAATCAAACAAGTAGAGACAAGAGGCAAGCCTTTTGTCTTCAAGGGTTGACCAAGTTAAGTGTTTCCTACCCTCTCTGAATAGGACACTTCCAGGAGCTCTCCAATCTCTCACTTAAAACTAAGGTTTGAATCTCAAAGTGTTTTGCCGGGAGGCAGATACTCCTGCATCTTCAGGAGACCTGTGAGCACACATTAGCAGCTATTTCTCTGACTCCTTGTGGCATCAGATAAAAACGTGGGAGTTTTTCCATATAATTCCCAACATTACTTATAAATTCTATTTTTTGAAAAAATTATTCAGGCTAGGCAAGGTGGCTCATACCTATTATCCCAGTCCCTGGAGAGGCCAAGGTGGGAGAATTGCTTGAGGCCAGGAGTTTAAGGCCTCCTGGGCAACATAGTGAGATCCCATCTCTACAAAAAACAAAACAAAAAATTACCCATGCATGATGGTACATGCCTGTAGTCCTACCTACTTAGGAGGCTGAGGCAGGAGGATCACTTGAGCCCTGGAGGTTGAGGCTGCAGTGAGCCATGATCGCATAACTATACTCCAGTCTGGGCAATAGAGTGAGACTCTCCTCTCTCTCTCTCTCCACACACACACACACACCCTATTGGCTCTGCTTCTCTGAAGAGCCTTGACCGATGCACAGTCCCTATGTAAGAGCCTTGTCTGATGTTCAGTGTGTCTGTGTTTGAAACTTGTAAACTGGTTAGATGGGAGCCATGTGTGAGGGTCTGGGAACACCGTTTATTTTTATCACAAATGCAATGCCAAGGTCCCAGAGTCATGGCCACTTGGGGTAGGAAAGCCTGTCTTCCTAAGTGAGGTTTCATGGGAGCCCAGCCACACCCATTCATCTGCCTTTTCCCCATGGCTGCTTTTCTGCTACAACAGCAGATTTGGCCAGCTGCCACCAAGATCCTATGGCCCACAAATCTGGGCACATTTACTATCTGGCCCATTACAGAAGAAGTTTGCCAGTCCTGTGTTCAAGATTGGATTTGGAGCATCACCTACAGACCACAAGCAAAGGAGGTGGCAGGTGGGCGCCATGATACAGTCCTTGACTCGGACGATCCCTTCTTTGCTGTGGGGCCACTCTGCCTCCTTTGCTTCTCCCCACAAGACCCTCCTCCCTGGTACTTTCTCGGGGTCATTCACTGAGTCCTTTTTCTCTGTCCACCCCCCAACATCTGTCCTCTTCTTGCCTTCTCTCAGGTGTCCCCACTTTTCCCAGGCTGTTCACAGCCACCTGTCCTCTGGCCACACCCATGTTCAGGTTTATGGCTGAGACTTCACTGGGGTCTCAAATGCAAGCAAATAAAGAAATAAAGTGTCCCAGGCCCAGCGAGCAGCCACCTGGCCACCCTCTAGGGCTTCTCAAACACCTGCCCAAGACTGACCTCAGCAATTCCCTATCCCCAAAGTTCCCGTCTTAGTCCCCCAGCCCTCAGTCTGGAAACCCCCAGCCCATGACCTCCCAGCTCATTCCTTTTCTGTCCCTCACCTCAGCCCAAGCCCTACCCCATATGTGTCCCAGACAGCTCTGGAATTCTTGTCTTTATCAGATCTCTTCCAGAGGACAGGTAAAAGGGGAAGCATGACTCCTCTTTCATAAGGCTGATAAGACCTTCCTACTAAATGCAATGTGAGGAAGGAGAAGTAAAGGCAACATATTTTAACATATTTATTCCATACATTAAGTTTTCTTTTTTGTAGAGATAGTGTGTCGCTATGTTGCTCAGGCTGGTCTCAGTCTCCTGGCTTCAAGCAATTTTCCCACCTCAGCCTCCCAGAAATGTGCTTGTATTACAGGTGTGAACCACTGAGCACAACCTAAGAGATCTATTCTAAATAAAGTATTAATGAAACAAATCCCGGAATCTATTAGAAAACCTATTGTATCTTAACAAGGTAAGGTTCATCCCAAGAGAGCTAGGAATTCTTTAATGGTAGAAAAAGAAAATCTATTCTTGTGGTCCACTGTGTTAACAGAGTAAATGAGAAAACCACTGTGACCACTTCATTCAATGAAGAAAGGCATATGAGCATTAATCAATAGATGGCTGGGCACAGTGGCTTATGCCTGTCATCCCAGCACCTTGGGAGGCCAAGGTGGGTAGATCATTTGAGGTCAGGAGTTGGAGACCAGCCTGGCCAACATGGTGAAACCCCGTCTCTACTAAAAATACAAAAATTAGCTAGACGTGGTGGTGGATGCCTGTAGTCCCAGCTACTTAGGAGGCTGAGACAGCAGAATCGCTTGAACCTGGGAAGTGGAGGTTGCAGTGAGCCGAGATCGCGCCTCTGCACTCCAGCCTGGGTGACAGAGCTAGACTCTGTCTCAAAAAAATAAAATAAAATAATAAATAAATAAACAAATAAATAAGTAGCTTAGAAAATTAGGACTGGAAGGCGTGGCAGTCAGCGTCTTTATTCTCATTATCCCTGTGGCCTCCAGGAGGGTAGCATGGCAGGCAGTTGTACTTTCCCCAGGGAGGGGACTTTCCTGCACAGGTTCTAGTTCATATGTGCCACAACTCAAGTGGCCATATCACGTTCTGGATGAAATACTGACCAACAGAAGCTGGACCAAGAGTGCTTGGCTCTGCCTGTCCTGAGGCCCATGACCCAGTTAAACAGGGAACGGGGAGAAGCTCCCTGATTGCCTGTCTATGGTCAAACCCCATCTGTGGGATTCATTTCTCAAAGGACACTGAAGCCATGTGCAGCCTGAGAGCCCCAGGCCAGGCCTGCAGTCCTGTGACATTATTGCAAGGGCAGCCCACACCTCACTCGCCGTCACAGCATCTCCAGCCAGCCACAGTTCTCAGAACAGTCTCTCAGCAGTTCTGAGGCCCCTGATGGACACCATCGGTTTCCACGTGGAGGTGGCGTAAGCAGGATTGATGCCTGTGCTACCGCCCAGCCCGCCTGCTGCCTCCCACTGGTGGACTCCCAAAGTGGCAAGATGCCAGTGTCACACTGTGACAGAGCAGCTTTACACACACACACACACACACACACACACACACTCCAGTGGTGGATGCCCAGGAAGCTGCCCCCAGGTCCTGGAGTCTCAGTTTCTGTTGCTCCAGGCAGGCCTAGCCCTGGACAGAAAACCCACCTCCAAGACGGTGATTCTTAACCACCACCATCACCACTACAGGTTGAGTTCCCTTATCTAAAGTACTTTGGACCAGAAGAGTTTGGGATTTTGAGGGTTTTGGGGGGAGGATTTTGAAATATGTGCACTATAGTCACGAGTTGAGCATCCCAAATTTAAAATCCAAAATGCTTCAGTGAACGTTTCCTTTGAGCATCAGCTCAGCACTCAAAAAGTTTCAGATTGGGGGTTTTTGGATTTGGGATACTCAACCTACATTTGTAAAAACTATGGGTAAACACTATGGGTGGGGAGCTTTTCATCATCACTGATGCCTGAGCTACCCCCGGGAATTCTGAAGGAATTTCATTCCAGGTAGAGCCCAGGCATTGGGAAGTTTTTAAGGCTTCCAAGTAACTCGAATCAGCAGCCCAAGCTGGGAGCTGCATGCCCCACCCCGTCACCCTTCTCGTGCTCCTTACCCTACTTCCCGCCACCAGCCACCCCTGGACTCCAGAGCTCCCAGGGAGCCCACCAGCCACAAACCTGTGTCACTGGGATAAAGCAACCATGTAGCAAGGAAGAAGTTGACTGTGTCCTGTTCCCTGAAGGGGAAAGTATTGCCCAGAAGCTTTTCCTAAAGGACAGAAGTGGCACATTGACCATCTGCACCAATCCATGGGAAGCTCGTGCCAAGTTTCCTCTCCAGAAATTTTCCTTAAAAAGATTGTACTCAACTGCATATAAGTGGTCATGAGTATAACCTATAATTATTCAGAACATGAATGATTTAGGTCCACGTTAAGTGGTAGAACATTGCACAGTTACTGAAAACGGCACAAACTTACAGATTTTTAGCATCTTAAGGATGTGATTGTTATAGTGTTAAGTGAAAAGAATGAAATTCAACATGTATAAATGTGATCAATCTACCCAGAAAATATGTGGGAAGCTCACTAGAAGAAAATGCATCAAATGCATCAAATGTAGAAGCGAGAGGCTTTTTTTTTTTTTTTTTTTTTGAGTCTTTCTCTGTCCCCCAGGCTAGAGTGCAGTGGTGCAATCTCAGCTCACTCCAACTTCCCCCT